AGGATATTTTGATTTGTGGTTTAATTCCCAGTATGTTTCCTTGAAGGGGAGACCTTGCTAATTTGGCCTCATGAAAGGCCCAGTTAGTAAGAAGTAATGCCAGTGGAGATTTGCAAGTAAACTCGAGCAATTTATTTTTAATCAACTGAAAAATCCCTTACTTAAAAGCTTAATTAAGACTTCTGAAGTGCTACTAATGTCCTTTCTTGTCATGGATGTTAGTTTGTTTTCTTTATAATAATCATTGTTATGTGTTTATGACCTTTTCTGCGTGGTAATCAGTATGGTGGTATATTTCATAATTTTTAAAAAGAATCACAAAAAAACCAACACAATTAAAGCTATTCTTTCTACGTATGGTAAAGCCAAAGGCTAACGTTCGACTGTCTGTCATGAAAAGCCAGTCCCCTATGAAATGGCCATCGATACCTGGCCTACCTAAGGACTGACACCAAGAGGACCAGAAACCCATCTTCTGTGGGTCTCCAGGGGCCCGAGCCAGGGCCACTAAAATCTGAAACCTTAGGAATTATCTCCAGGGCAGGAACCATGGAAAAGACATGGAAAGGAGCCCTGAGCTCTGACAACAAATAGCTCTATGTGTTTTTCACATATTAAGTCAGGTTTAAGAAAGAAAACTTAAATTTGTATTTGAGTTAGAAAAGTAAACAATTCAAAATACTAAAGGGGTTTTAGCCGCCTGAAAGGCAAGGGTGCAAAGGGCTTTCTTTACCTGTCTGCTTATTGCTGTAAGAGTGTTACACTTTCTGAAGAAGTTACACCAACTGGCCAGATTTATCTAAATAGGTACAATCTGAACCCTGCAATTTGTCAGTTCTTTACAGTTCTAATAAGACCATGGATGCAAGGGTGGGAAAGAGGAGGGAAATATATTTCAAAATTTTACAGTGAATATTTTTCTAAAAACAGTCAAATTTTCTATGTTCCATTATTCACTCATCCCGAAAGTTAAAGTTTGCCTCCTCCCTCGCTCACCTAAAGCCCAGGTAAAAATGACTTTAAAAAAGGGAAGAGTAAATAGGAAATCAATGCCAGTTTATGAAAACTACTTAGCCTCAGAACTTGATATCTGAAAAAATCCTTAAAACTTCTGTCCAACTTCTCAGTTTCTAGATGTGAAAACTTAGGCCTATAGAGGTGAAGTGACTTGTGAAAGGACATGAACTAGTTTTGGGTAAGTTTTACCCTTTATTTTTACTTTATTTTCCCATAAATTATTTGTTGTAGCTTAAAAAATACATGCACTAGCAGTGCAAAAGCTTTTTGAGTAAGTCCCACTTGTTTATCCTTTCCTTTATGTCCCTTGCTTTAGGGGACATATGGGTGAAAATACTGCTGCATGGAATATCTCAGACTTTCCTGCCTATGTTCTCCTCTAGGACTTTATGGTTTTGCGACTTATAGTTAAGTCTTTGATCCACCTTGAGTTTATTTTTGTGTATGGTGTTAAACTGCTGGTCGAGGTTTTTTTGTTTGTTTTTGCATGTAGCTGTCCAGATCTCCCAATACCATTTGTTGAAGAGGCTATTTTTACTCCATTTTATGCCTCCTTTGTCAAATATTAATTGACCATAGACACTTCGGCTTATTTCTGGGCTCTCCATTCTGTTCCATTGATCCATGTGTCTATTCTTATGCCAGTACCAGGTTGTTTTGATAACCATGGCCTTATAATATAATTTCATGTCAGGTATGGTGATCATTCCTACTTTGTTCTTCTTTCTCAAAAATTGCTGCAGCTATATGGGGTCATTTATGGTTCCATATAAATTTTTGAAATATTTGTTCTATCTCTGTGAAATAAGTCACTGGTATTTTAATAGGGATTGTGTTGAATCTATAAATTGCTTTCGGTGGTATGAAGATTTTGATGATATTAATTCTTCCAATCCATGAACATGGTATATGTTTCCATTTGTTTGTGTCTTCCTTAATTTCTTTCTTCGGTGTTGTGTAGTTTTCTGAGTGTAGCTACATGCTAAAAAATGAAAACTTGACCACCAACTTACACCATACACAAAAATAAACTCAAGATGGATAAAAGACTTAAATATAAGTTGTGATACCATAATAGTCCTAGAGGAGAACATAGGCAAGAAAATCTGAGATATTCCACGCAACAATATTTTCCCCAGTATGTCTCCAAGAGCGAGGGACATAAAGGAAAGAAGAAACAAGTGGGATGCCATCAAATTAAAAAGCCTCTGCACAGCTAAAGAAAACATTAGCGAAATGAAAAGAGATCCAACTGTATGGGGAAACATATTTGCCAATGGTATCTCAGACAAGGGTTTGATCTTCAAAATATTTAAAGAACTCACACAACTCCATTCCAGGAAGACAAACAACCCAGTTAACCAATGGGCAAAGAACCTGAACAGACACTTCTCCAAGGAGGACATACAGAGGTCCCAGAGACATGAAAGTATGCTCAGCCTCACTAGCCATCAGAGAGATGCAAATGAAAACCACAATGAGATACCACCTCACACCAGTCAGAATGGCCATTGCAAACAAATCAACAAACAACAAGTGCTGGAGAGGTTGTGGAGAAAAGGGAACCCTAGTGCACTGTTGGTGGGAATGCAGACTAGTGTAGCCACTGTGGAAAACAGTACGGGGTTTCCTCAAAAAAACTAAAAATGGAACTGCCTTTTGATCTAGCAATTCCAGTGCTGGGATTATACCCTAAGAATCCTGAAACACTAATTCAAAAGAACCTATGTACCCCAATGTTCATAGAGCACAATTTATAATAGTCAAGTGTTGGAAGCAACCTAAGCACCCATTGGTTAATGAGTGGATCAAAAACCTGTGGTACATTTACACCATGGAATACTACACAGCAGAAAGAAAGAAGGAACTCCTATCCTTCGCCACAGCATGGACAGAACTAGAGAGCATCATGCTAAGTGAAGTAAGCCAGGTGGTGAAAGACAAATACCATATGATCTCACCTATAAGTGGAACCTAATTAACAAACAAACAGGCAAGCAAAATATAACCAGAGACATTGAAATAAAGAACTGACAATTGCTGGGGGCGGGAGGATAATGGGAGAAAGAAGGGAAAGCATCCTTAAAGAACATGTACAAAGGACCCATGCATGGACAAAGCCAAGAGGGAAGGGATGGAGAGTGGGAGGTGGGGGAGGGTGGTAGGTGGGGGAGTGTGGGACAGGGAAAGTGGTGGCAGGAAAATAGAGACAACTGTATTCAAACAACAATAAAAGAAAAAAAAGAAATACATACATTAAAAAAGATAAATACAGGGTCTGGCACAAATAATGCCCCTTTTTATTACAAAATCTTTTATTCCCAAATCATAAGCATGTAATTCTGTAACACAACAATATCACACTCAAGCACACCATATGACATTTTAGGTGAAATGTTCAAATTAAAACTATAAATGATTATGCCCATATTATTACCCTACCAACCACACTCAAACAGGCGTTACTTCTGCTGGACCCTGTATAAATAATAAATATGGTGAATTATGGTAAAGTCAGGATTTCTTACTTCCAGTCTACTGTTCTTTATATTATATCATGTTTTGTTCCTTAAACTTTCTAAATTTCCCAATGGAAGATACAAGGTACTGATCCCACTTTTTCCTATTATGTAGCTGTTCTGAACTGTGACAGAAGTACATGGGTAAAGGCCCATTTTGTACAGACAATGTCTTAACTGCTTGTGCTATCCTGAACTAAAAATGCCTCCACAGTTCTAGCTGGTGTGGTTCAGTGGATTGAGTGCCAGCCTGTGAACCAAAAGGTCATTGGTTCGATTCCCAGGCAGGGAACATGCTTGGGTTGCAGGATGATTGATGTTTCCCTCACACATCGATGTTTGTCTCCCTCTTTTTTTCCCTCCCTTCTCTTCTCTCTAAAAATAAATGAATAAAATCTTTTTAAAATTTTTAAAAAATGCCTCCGCAACTATAACTAAATCAAGACGTCCATTGGCCTCATCTTACTTCTGTCCCATTATTAAGCCAAAGAAATTGAAATTTCTTCTAAAATGTAAATACTGAATGGCAACTTAATTAAGGGCAGTTTATAAGGCAGTTTGTTAAGCTTTATATTTATAAATATGTAATTACACAAAGCCTTTCCTACCCCTTATTTGGAAACATCCATCAATTTAATTCTTTAAATGACATCTGCTAAATGAGGCATCCCTCAAAATGGTATCCAATGTCAGTCCTCACTGTTCAACGGCTAATTATTTGGCTGGTGGATTATCTAGGGGGTTTCGCTTCTCCATTTGTTGCCTTGTTTCATAAGATAATGATGAGAAAGAAACCCAAGGTTTGGTCAAATATTTGTTAGGGAAGTCTGAAATTTAACCAAATAAAATTGGTATTTCTTTTACTTATGCTCCTTATTAGGAGGAATAACAGGACAGACTCCAATGCCAGAAGCAGTGCTGGCTCATCCCAGACAATTGTAACAAGGCCGAAGACCCAGAGTCTCCTTACTGGCCCAGTTTGGCTTCCTCTGTTCTCTTCCTGTGCCCAATAGCTATGCCCCAATGTCAAAAACAGGGCTGGACAGGAGCACAAATCCATCACCTCCACTACATCAACAACAGGCTTTGTTAATGTCACAATACCAATACCATCTTTATATTTAAAGATAGAATTTTGAATGAGTGAGATTTTACGGGGCTATACCATCTTGTACTATGCCATCTTTCTTGGACCCTATTAAATAGTTCCATTTCATTTATGCCCTCTTTTTTCTGATCTGGCCAGGAGCCAAAATCATAAGTCTTATTAATAGAGAGCTCAGAAGTACCACAACCCACAAATGACCCTTGGCAGCAATTAAACTGAAAAATAATTCCCACTGAAACAAAAGGTTAACTACTCATCCAAACTTTGGCAAAGACGACAGTTCTTTCTCCCTCATCTCCCCTAAGCCCGTTAGGAAAGGGGTATCTGAAGCTGCTCCTCCTCCTCCTGCAACTCACTTTCTGCGTCAAATAGTATGGGTCAAAGTCCTCCAGGGGAACTGCAACCAGGCCTTGTGGGATGTCCCCATAGATGAAAGGCAAACTCTTCCCTGCCTCCAGGTCACTGTTTGGCTTGGGCTTGCTGTCCTCATCGTCCTCCCGATGACTGCCGTCGGCCTTTGGTGGTTTCTTAAGCTTGCTCTCAGCAATGCGCCTCTCGATGTTTGCCAGAGACTCAGGGGTGAAAGGCTTGAAACTATCAGGGCCTGGTGGTGCGAGCAGCCGCGCTGCCATCTTCTCATCCTGCAGCAGCTTCGTTAGTTATGCTGCGTCCAGGACAGGTCAGCTCTGAAAGAAAAAACAACACAGACAGCATTAATCAATCACTGCTCAAAAAAGAGGCCAGGCTAAACCATCTCACTCAACTTTTATTCACAGCCTTTGCAACACATAGTTTCTTCCATGACACAGTTATTTTTCTCAACAGAAAAAATCTGTGGCGTGAATGGAATAGGTCATGTTCATTACCACCCCTCAGGGGAATGAGCAGCCAGAAGATCAAAAGATGGGAGTCTCCTGAATGCTAGTATTTATTATTTACTTAGATGCAACTCACTGTTAGGAGCCACATACAACTACAAAGATAATTCTATACCCTCAAGGAACTTCTATTCTAAACCAATAGGGCATATTTATCATCACCCAGTGATGCATGCTAGCTTTGGACTCCTTATATGCTCAAGTCGCCTTCCTCTCCTATAGCTCCACTCCCCAAAGAAATGCTCTAACTTCCAAGGACAACACAAGGGTACACTGTCAGTCTTTTCAAATTTCTGCTGCTGAAATCACTAAACCTTTCCCAACTTCGGAGGCACAAAATATAGATAAAATAGCTTCCATCTGCTTTGGCTCTTCTGTTTCAAGATATTTTTCAATTCACCAAGTTGTGTAAAATCCATCCAGTATAAAAGCCCAGAAGTACCTTCTTGTATGACCAAGCTCCTGCCAGGGAGAAACGCAGAACACTTTTCTCTATGGAGAGGGCAGACACTGTACTATGTACCTCCCACTCAGCAGCAAGGAAAAGCAAAGGGGAGAGGAATTTTTGAGGACTTCCTCTGTGCAGCAGCCCTGCAGCCCTACAGCCCTGCGGAGGGGACAGCGGAAAGGCCTGCATGCAACCTGAGAGGGGCTCAAGCCAGGAAGGGCTAGAAGTGAAAACAGAGTCACAGACCACAATTCCTTTCTAAAAAGAAAAATGAAGTAGTGCCATAACAGCAAGTGATTTCTAAGCATGGTATTTGAAAGCCCATTTTCTTATGTTTAAACAGAGTCCTGGGTAATTTAAATCCATGCCTTGAGACAAAGGACCCCCTAATGTCAAAAGCAACAGCGTTCGGTTACTGCCACAAAAGGACCCTGGCCCATGAGTCTAACCATGAAAGCTTTAGGGTGTCACTGGCAATTCATCTGGTGCTCCTGGTGCTGCTCCTTCCTTTAGTATGGTGAGTTCCACAAAGGCAATCTGGGAAATTTATTTTAAAGGGCTAGCAATTGTTCTTTCCCTCCTATTTAGCCCTCAGGGTCCACTTCAAGGCAAGTATCCATAAAACCCAGCTCCTCAAGAGAACACTAGTAGAGTTAACTCTAAATAATTTGGGAGTGAAATACCCAAGGGCGCCTTTTATAAATACACCCGCAGAGATCCCAGATTTCTCTAGTGCTGGCAACTGCTAAGTGTTGCAAAGGCAGTAAGTAGTGTCCACATGCAGGCCGCTCTGCTTACTCACTTACAGCACAGGACTAATGAGGCCAGAGCCACAAGTCTGCCCCCATACAGACTTGTTGGCTTCATGCTGTGCCAAAAAACCCCACTATCCTACATGCAGTATGGTCAAAAAAATCATTTTCACATATGAAGCATGAAATTTTAGAGCTGCGAGGGATTTACAGATCCAGTTCATTTCAGTTTACAGATTAGGAAACTTGGGGTCCTAAGAGATTGGACAACCTGCCCAAAGTCACAGGGCCAGGATCAAAAGCACAACCAAAGAGCTCTGACCCCTCAACACACACTTCTTTTATTAGGACAGATATCAGTTACCCATCCTCCTACCCTACTCTAACTCCTAGTTCTCCCCACCAGGAATCGTCTGCATCACTGAAAAAAAATCACATGAAAGGACAGTGGCTTTACTGATCTAAGGCTTTATGCAGAATGTTTTACCCAACCAAGAATGCCTCCTTCCTTATTCCTTTCCTCCAATCTATCCCTGAGTTACCCCCCATAAATCCCCATTCCTCCACAGAGCCTTCCCACCAGCTCTAGCCTTCACCAATTTTTCCCCGTGAACTCCTACAGATTTATCATGATCTTAGCTAACATTTATCATGTACTTACTATGTTTCAGGCATTGTTCCAAGCACCTTGCTTGTATTAGCTCATTTAGTCTCCCCAACAAATTATGAGCTAGATATTATTAAATTAACCCCATTTAACAGATGAGGAAACAGAGGCGCAGAGATCTAACGTAGCCAAAAGTTACAAGCTAGAAAATGACATAGGATTCAAAACATCCAATTCACATTTCTTTTGGCTCTTAATTATTGTTGAATTGCACCATATAAATTCCCAGAGGTCATGGATGGTGTCCCTTCCATAGAGAAAAGGATTATTCTTGGAACCAAAAATTAGCTCAAATCCCCGCAACTCCATAGTTCCCACAGCCACACTCATTCTCAACCGAGACTCCCTCAGTTCCCACTTAGAGGACAAAGAATACTGCAAGAGGAAGTCACTGAAGATGCTGACAAACTCCTGTGACCCGAGTTCTTCACAGGTAAAGCTGTCCAAGGCTAAGTCCTTGGCCTGTGCTTCCAGACCCTATTTCTTCCCTTCTCAGAGACCTCATTCCCTCAATTACCCCTGCTCTCCAGGACACTCTCAAGTCATTCCTTTTCCTCTCCTATTCCGGTATCTTCTCCCTTTACATCCTCACTCCCCACCCCCACTCTCTCTTGGTTTGGCTTAAGTGACCCTGATTCTGTTCTGTTATCCTGGTTCCGTCCACAACCACAGTCTTCTCTGCCTCACCACCTCTTTCCTTTCCAAGGGCTGACCTTCTGCACTCCCTCTGTTACACTTTCTTTCAGGGATCTCATCTACTCAAAATAATCTGTACGTGGGTGACTTTCGGATCTGTATCTAAAGAGCCCTGGCCGCTCTTCTGAGCCACACAATTGCTGTCACCACTTCAGAATTAAGCACCAAAAACCACACATTTTTACTTACCAAACTGATTCCCCCTCCTGGCTTTCTTAATTCTGTTATTGGGACCATCATTTTCCAAGCCATGTAAGCATGTAAACTCAGTCATCTCTGCCCTGTCGTCCCTTTGCTGTCCTTGCCCAGTCACCAGCCTTACTAATTCTTCCTTCCGAGTTTCCATTTAAAATAGCATCACCCAATAAGTCAATCAGAGAAAGACAAATACCATACGAGTTAATTTATATGTGGACTCTAAAGAATAAAATAAACAAACAAAATTGAAACAGACTCACAGATACACAGAACAGACTGATGGTTACCAGAAGGGAAGGGGATTGGGGGACTGGATGAAAAAGGTGAAGGGATTAAGAAATACAGATTGGTAGTTACAAAACAGTCATGGAGATGTAAAGTACAGCATAGGGAATACAGTCAATAATATTGCAATAACTGTGTGTGGTGCTGGGTGGGTACTGGAAACATCAGGGAGATCTCTCTGTAAAGTATATGACTGCCTAACCACTATGCTGTACACCTGAAACTAATATAAAATAACACTGAATGTCCACTGTAATCTAAAACAATTTTAAAAGACATAGTCAAAAGAAAAAAACCAGCATTACCCCAATTCAGGTCGCATGCGATAGTCGCCCACTTGCAGACCAGTCCTCAGCCCACCGGGCACATCTCCAAAGATCTGTTCCCCTAACACCCTGCTTCCATTGTGTCACCTCCCTCCCTCAAGCCTACTGGAGTTACATCACTGGATTCCAACATCTTCCGTTTCGCTGCCACTCAAGGCCTTTTACTTAAATATTCTTTTCTTACTGCTTCACTGCAAGCAGTAAGGTACTCTAGTTACAGTAACTGTTTTGGTTTTGGTTTTCGAGGTTGTTGTTTTTTTAAGGTAGAACATAATACAAGTGAACAGGTCTCCAACACACAGACTGGGTATTTTGTACACATGTATACACACCTGTGTAACCACTACTCGGCTCCAGCTGTACACTTATTGCCAGCACTCCAGAGGCTCTCTTGAGCTCCCCTGTCAATAACTACCAACCCTCCTACTCTCCCAGCAAAGGTTAGCAGTTTGCCTGTTCTTGAACTTCATATAAGTAAACTATAAGTATACTCTTCAGGGTCTGGCTTCTTTCACTCACCATTATTTCTGTGAGGCTGATCTTTGTTGTGTGTGTAGCATGGACTGCATTTTTAAATTGCTGTGTAGTATTCCATGTATGAATATAGCACAATTTATCCATTTTAACTGGTAAGGCATTTAGGATGTTTATCATTTCAGGCTTCTATGAATAAAGCTGCTAAGAACCTTTCGTACATATCTTTTGGTTGCCATGTATGTTCATTTCTCTTCAGCAGATGGGTGGGAGTGGAACGGTGGGGTCAGAAGAGGGCATACATTTAGTGTCAGCAACAGTGCCACCAGCAGTGCAAAGGGTTCAGCTGCCCCACATCCTCACCATCACTGGGAAATGCCAGTCTTCTTCATTTTACCCAACTGTAGTGGAAATACACACACACATAGTGGTATCTCAGTTTTTTTTTTCTTTAAGATTTTATGTATTTATTTTTGGAGAGAGGGGAAGAGAAGGAGAGAAACATTGATGTGTGAGAGAAACATCAACTGGTTGCCTCTCACACCCTGACGGGGAGCAGGCCCACAACCCAGGCACGTGCCCTGACGGGAATCAACTGGCAACCTTCCGCTTTGCAAATGACTCCTAGCCAACTGAGTCACGCAGGTGAGGGCACATAGTTTTTTGGGGTTTTTTGTTTAAGTAATTTACTGAAGGGAAATTTATATAACATAAAATTAACCATTTCAAAGTGAACAATTCAGTGGCAATTAGTACATTCACAAGGTAGTGCAATTACCACCTCTATCTAGTTCCAAAACATTTCCATTACTTGAAAGTAAAACCCTTTACCCATTAATCAGTTTTTCTCCATTTGTCTCTTCATCTCCCTCCTCCCTGCATCCCTAACTCCTGGCAACCAACAGTCTGTGTTCTGTTTCTACTGATTTGTCTGTTCTGGATCGTCACATAAAAGGAATCAT